TCTTTAAGTTTTAGACAGGGTCTTAGTCTGGAGCTCTCTATATAGACTGGCATTGGCCCCCAGAGATCTACTGTCTTGCCTCCCCAGTGCTGGAGCTAAAAGCAAGTACTACCACACTTGATTTTCTCTGGAAGGGGGATCCTAGAGTATGAACACAGGGCCTCTTGCACACTAAGCAAGCACTGTAATGATCTGTCCTGTCCCTTTAAGAGACAAGCCCCACCCCTTCCCTTTCCCTATCCACTGAGGCAGGAAGATCTTCCTTCCTGCTTGCAGCCTGAGTCTCTCTCTTTTCCATCTTCCTCTTGAAGAAGCAGCTTCTGTCTCTCCCCACTTCTCCCCTTCCTCCTTCAGTTTCTCTCTCTCTCTCTCTCTCTGCTCTTCTCCCTTCTCATCTTTCCCCTCCATAACCCACTAAATAAATATCCAACCTCACTCTGCATGGTGTGCCTATTCATGTCTCTGTCTCTCGCCTGCTGCGTGGCTCCCTGCCTAGGACCAGCCGCCTTTGGAGACCTGTGGCATGGTCTCATGGCTTGCCCTTCTGTCTGTCTCTCCTCGTGGGACCCCCTGTGGCCTACTGCAGCCACTTGGGAACTGTGCCATCCGTTCTGGGACTGGCTGCTCTTGGACCTGCTGCCCACTGCCCCTGCTTGGGGACCTGCAGTGTTTCTGCCACTGAGCCCCTCGGGGATCCACAGCATTTTCACTTCATCCATTATATATTTTTACTTAACCCATTACAAGCATCTACTGCATCCCCAACCCTCAGTAATAATTTTGAATTTTGAATAGAATTAGAAGAAAAATAATTTTTGAAAGATATATACTAAGTAATTTCAATTTGTTTGTACTTATTTTCATGTCTATTTATTTCTTTTTAAGTACAAGCTCATGACTGCTGTCTACATAACAAAATCAGCTTAAATGCTCACAAGTCTGGCTAGGCAGCCTTCTCTTAGACTTCAGCTGGGCTCACTAGGCTTGAGTCTCCAAGCACCCTTTGTTGTACTTTTAGACTTTTGGGAAAAACAGACTCAGTCTGCCCAGTGCACGACTGTTTCCTGTCAGAAGGCCTTTTGGCCTGGACATACAAAGAATCTTTGTCCTGGTACTGTGTCACTTTGTAGGGCTGGCGCTTGCCACATTTCTTGCATAAAGCCTGGTTGGAGCATTTACCATGTTCAAGGGAATGATATGGCACAGAAAGGTATTTATTTATTTTAAAAGATTTGTTTAAAAACTATGTAAATAGTCTGGTTGTGGGGGCCCACAGAAGTGGGTCAGCTCCACCTTGACTGAAGGTCAGAGAGTTTTCCTTTTCCTCACTCCTTCCGGGCTCTTGACAAGAGGTTTGACTTAAGGTGTGGCCACTAACTAACAGGGTATCTTGACCTAGGGTGTGGTCACTTGGTGTTTTAAGTATTAAGATGGTAATCACTTTGTTCCTTGTAACAGGAAAAAAAAAGTTTGCTTTCTTCCCCTTTTTTGGATTGGGGTTTTTAAAGATCCTAAGAAGTAAACACAGGCTTATTCAGCTTTCACTGGATTGCCCTCCCGGTACTATCCTACGTCTCTCTGTTTCTTTTGTTTCTCTGTCTATTCTGCCTAACATTTCTAATCCACATACCCCCACCCTGGAAGTACGAACCCGTCTAGGCTGGACCCCAGCAGGTGTTGCCCCCGTGTGGCTACAATAGGCAATGGTGGCACAAGCCTTTAATATGGCACTTGTGGGGCAGAGGCTCGTAGATCTCTATGAGATAAAAAGCCAGCCTGGTCTACAGAGGTAGTTCAAGGAAAGCCTATGCAAAGAAGTGCTTTTGAAAACACACACAAAGGCGGGCGATGGTGGCGTACACCTTTAATCCCAGCACTCGGGAGGCAGAGGCAGGCGGATCTCTGTGAGTTTGAGACCAGCCTGGTCTACAGAGCTAGTTACAGGACAGGCTCCAAAACCACAGAGAGACCCTGTCTCGAAAAACCAAAAAAAAAAAAAAAAGGGCTGGAGAGATGGCTCAGTGGTTAAGAGCATTGCCTGCTCTTCCAAAGGTCCTGAGTTCAATTCCCGGCAACCACATGGTGGCTCACAACCATCTGTAATGAGGTCTGGTGCCCTCTTCTGGCCTGCAGGCATACACACAGACAGAACATTGTATACATAATAAATAAATAAATATTTTAAAAAAAAAGAAAGAAAGAAAAAAAGAAAGAAAAAGAAAACACACAAACAAAACATCAAAAACAAAAAGCCCAAAACTACGTGTATTAGTATCTTGGTGCCCCTTGAGAACCTGGCCCAGCAGTCACCACTCTTGTATGGCAAGTAAGTCCTAATCTCTCTCTCTCTCCCCCGACCCACCAAGGCAAGTGTTTGGCTTCTCTCTCCCTCTCCTCCTTCCCTCTTTGTCTCTCTGTCTCTCCTGTGTTCTCTTCCCTTCTCATTACCTTTGTCTCAGATAAACTCCACACTCCAGCCCTCTCTCCATGGCGTATTCTGTCACCTGCTGTAGTCTCACTAGGCCTGCCGAAGTCCCTCACTCACCCCATATCTTTTTTGTTGCTGTTGTTTTGTTTTGTTTCTCGAGACAGGGTTTCTCTGTAGCTTTGGAGCCTGTCCCGGAACTAGCTCTTGTAGACCAGGCTGGCCTCGAACTCACAGAGATTCGCCTGCCTCTGCGACCCGAGGCTGGGATTAAAGGTGTGTGCCACCACTGCCCAGCTTCACACCATATCTTAAGTATGTGTGTATGGTGTGTGTGTGTGTGTGTGTGTGTGTGCGCGCGCGCGCGCGCGTGTGTGCATGTGCGTGCGTGTGTGCATATGAGTGTAGTGCCCTCAGAGGCCAGTCAGATCCCTTGGAGCTGGACTTAACAGTTGTAAGCTGCCCTACATGCATGATGGGAGCCAAACTCCCGTCCTCTGCAAGAGTAGTGTGTGGTTTTCACTGCTGAAGCATACCTCCAGGCCTGTTTAGTCATTTGTAGAAGAGAGTCTCGCCTAGCCTGACTGCCTGGAACTCTGTTTACTAGTATGACCTTGAACCTCCAACCCTCCTGCTTCTACTTCCCAAATTGTGGGATCACAGGTTATAGGTGTAGACCACAACACCCTACGGGAAGCAGATGAAGTCGTCAGTGAATGTGTATTGTTGACGTGAGCATGGCCACATCAAGGACCCCAACATTTCAGACCCATGGGAATGGTAAAAGTGTTGGGATCCTTGATCAAGTACAGATGTTGACAACAGACTAACCTTCAGCTAAAAGCAGGGTGTGCAGAGAACTACCAACAGCAGCTTTCCCAATTTTTGTCTGTTTGTTTTGTTTTTCGAGACAGGCTTTCTTTTTAGCTTTGGAGCCTATCCTGGAACTCGCTCTAAAGACCAAGCTGGCCTCGAACTCACAGAGATCCACCTGTCTCTGGGTATGTCACCACCGCCTGGTTGAAATTTACTGTTTTCCTTTTCCTTTCTGCAGAATACCTACTTGTTATGATCAAATGTTTTGGCAATCCCTAAAGAATTAGTAAAGAAGCTGGGTGATGATGGCGCACACCTTTAACCCCAGCACTAGGGAGGCAGAGGCAGGCGGAGCTCTGAGTTCACAGGGCGAGTTCTAGGATAGCCAGGACAGAGAAGCTCTGTCTTGAAACAAAACAAAACAATAACAGCAAAAAATAATAAAGAAGATAAAAATATATTCAAACAACTCACATTTTGTGTATGGGTATTTTGCCTGTATATATATTTGTGAGCCCCTTATGCCTGGTGCCCTCAAAAGCCAGAAGGGGGATTAATCTCCTGGAACTGGAGCTACAGATGTTTGTGAGCCCCCTTGTGGTGCTGGGAATCAAATCCACGTGCTCTGGAACAGCAGTCAGTGCTTCTAACTGCTAAGTCACCTCTCCAGGCCCTCTATACACCATTTTCAAAAAGATTTCACCTTGGTGAGGTGGTTCAGTGTGTAAAGGTGTTTGCTAGAAAGCCTGGCAACACAGGTTTGCCCTCTGGGAGGGGACCCACAAGGTGGAGAAAATGACTCCTGCAAGTTGTCCTCTGACACACCACACACACACACACACACACACACACACACACACCACACCACACCACACCACACACACCTTTTACATTTCACCCAAGGGTTGGCGAACTGGCTCAGAGGGTAAAGGCCTCTGCTCACAAACTTAAACACCTGAGTTCAATCCTGAGGTCCAACATTTTGGCAGGCATTAACCAACAAGTAAATGCAACTGTGTATCCCTCGCAATGCCAACAGTGTAAAATGTATCATTACAGCACTTGGAACAATTTATGATTGCTATTTCCTCTTGCACAAACACAACCATAAACCACTTTGTAATCAGAGGAGAAATTGGCTGAGACAATGTTTCAGGTAACCCAGACTGGACTCCAACTTGCCATGTAGCCACGGCAGGCCCAGCAGCATCTTCTTCCTGCCTCCACTTCCCCAGGATGGGCTGACAGGAGCATCAGGTGTTGTGTTCCTACTTATATTTATTTCTTCGTAGCTCAGCCCGGCCTCAAACTTTCAGTCTTGTGCCCAGGAAAAACCTTGAGCCCCTGCCCTTCCTACCTCCATCTCTGAGTGCTAGAATTACCGGGGTACACCCGCAGCCTGGCTTGGGATTGGAAAAGATGTTCTAACCAACACTCTAAATTCTGGGCTGTTGTGTACAGTTTTCTGGAGACAGTATCTGTAATTCACAAAAACGTCCAAGGCTTTGACTACTCCAGAGAAAGAACTTCGACTTTCAAACCAAGTTCTTCTGGAATTGGCTGCCGAGCTCAGCCGACCTGCGATGGGGCCTCCCACGCCCCCACTCCTCACTCCCCAATCCCACACCTTCCCACAGTTCCACAGCGCGGTCATCCAAGGCGCCGTGTCCAGCAGGGGTCGCTGTGACCGCGCCACTAAGCTCGCATGCGAGTCGGGGGTCCACTCTTCCGGCGTGGGCTTGGGCGGAAGAGGCGGGGCAGGGACAGAGGTGGCCCCCAGGCCTGCGGTCGGCGCGGTCAGGGGAGGGACCAGCGGACTTCCCAGGTGAGTGCGCCCCTACTGGCTCGCCAACCCAGCCCCTCGGTGGGTCATTCGCCGGCGACCCGCCTCTGCCCTGCAGCGCTGCGGTCAAATCTGCGTGCACGTCCGGTTCCGTAGGGTCGGGCTTGCCTTGGGACGCCTCCCGAAACCCGGGATCTTGGGAATTGAGCTGACCCAGACTGTGCGTCCCCGCGCTTGGCCGCAACTGGCTGCAGACACTGACCCGGGGCCGGCGGCGTGGGTGTCCAGTTTCCTTTGACCTTGGGGGAATTTGGGGAGGTGCGGGATGGGAGAGTTCCAGGGGAACCCGTCCTCGTCTAGAAGTCAGCCTCCGCTGTCCCCAGAAGGGAAGGTTTTCGTAACTGCAGTAGACTTTCTCGACTGGAGGCCAAGCTCCCGGTCACACCGAGCGGTGACAAGCTGGGGAACACGGATCCGTTCTCAGCATCGTGCACTCAAGGGCAGCGTTGCCTTTGCATCCTGAACACTACGCTCCCAGCAGTCTTAACATTTGTTAGCACATTCTATAGCTTCATAAAAATCGAACCCGAAACAGACCGTTCTCCCCGAGTCATCTCTAGTGCAGACCGACCGCCACCAAGGAGACCCTGTAAGACGGACTCCTGCCAGGTCACTTTCCTACTAAAACTCTTTCTGGAGAACTCATGCAGCCAGGGCCACTTTAGGTATCTAAAACTTTTGGAGAGCTAGTGTCAGTTCAGATACACTCTGTTCTTTTCTGAGCTCGTTCTAATGCCGCAGTCCTCTGGTCGTACTGTTATCCTAAAGGCTTGGTTTTTTTTTTTTTTTTTTTTTGAAGACGGTCCACGTTATAGTGGAGATGTCCTTGAAACCCCCAACCTCTTGCCTCCTTCCCAGATGCTTGAAATACAGGTTCACACCACCCTTCCCAGATTCCACAAGTTTTTAACTACTAGACACTATTCTGTGCACTTGAGATTAAGTGAAGGAAAATAAAATCGGGATGAAGAGGAATTCTACTGTTGGGAGTGTAAGCACAGGCAGACAAGTAACATCCAGTAAATTATGTGTGATAGCTCTGGGGGTGGGGTAGGTGTTAAAAGGGATTGGTTGGCCAGAAGTGAATAGCTTTGGAATGGGTAGGCCCCACTGAGGGGTTTTGAGTTTAGACTTGAAGGTGAGGTCACCTAGTACTTATCTATGCAAAAGTGTTCTAGACCGGTGTGGACAAGGACCCCTAGTTTGGCTAGAATGTGTCCTCTAAGTTTCGTGTGTTGGGAATTTGGTGCAGTGCCATTAGGAAGAGCAGGGTCATGGGGTTTCTTGGGCAAGTCTGTTCATGGCCTAGTGGGTCATCAGGGAGTACATGGCTTTGGTATGATAACAAGCTCTAGCTGGCCTGCTTACACTTTCTGCCCTCTCTGGCCTCTGTCTACCCTGTGCTGCAGCAAGAAGGCCTTCCCCCAGGTGTCCGCCTCTGTAGTTTGAGGGAGGGAAAGGTGGGGGAGGGGGGGGAAATAGATGCTATTGGCCTTGAACTTCCCAGGCTCTAGAGCCAAGTGGTAAATCTTTATTCTTTTTTTGTTTGTTTTGTTTTGATTTTTCTCTCCCCACCCCCAAGGTTTCTCTGTAGCTTTGGTGACTGGCAGAGGCAGGTGGATCTCTGTGAGTTCAAGGCCAGCCTGGTCTACAGAACAAGTTCCAGGACAGGCTCGAAAGCTACACAGAGAAGCCCTGAAAAACTGGACGAAAAGAAAAAGTCTCATTTGGGGCTGAGTAGATAACAGGCACTTAGTCTCCACACTTTGATTAGTTTCCACTTCGATGGATACCCACTGCAAAACTTTTCTAACTCATTTTGGGGGTATAAATTTATTATATATTTATAATATATATTATTTATTATTATAAAATATTTATTATTATATTATTATATAATATATTTATTTATAAAGTATTTAGAAGGCAGTTTGATACCATATCGATGTAACAAAACAACAGGTTCCTCCCAGGACCTTCCTAACCATGGGCTTTTTGACTTACTAAATTCTCTTGATTTTTGAGGCTGGCCATGAACATACTCATTGGTCTAGCAGGTGTCAAACTCCACATCTTCCCACCCCACCAGGCCCAGAAGAGTGTTTTCTCTGGAGTGTTTTTGAGGTATTTGGTTTTGTAGACAGTCTTGCTTTGTAGTTCATGCTGGCCTGAACTTTGTGCCAAGCTTTAAGACCTGGTCACTCCCTGGAACCCACGCAGAAAGGCCAGGTGTGTAGTATGTGTCTGTAGTCCCAGTATTCTGTTGCCAAGATGAAAGACAAGAGAATTATTGGCCTGGAGTACACATGGCGGGAACAAGAGAGACCCTACCTGAGGAGAAGTAAGGTGGAAAGAGTCCTGACTCCTGAGATGTCCTCTGGCTGCCACATGCATGCCCTGCTGTGCTCACACCCTGACTTACGCACATCACGTACACATTCAGCAGTTGCTGAGGTGATAACAAAACTGTCCCACCTTCCCAGCCAGAGAAGCGTTCAAGGCCAGTCTGAGCTACTTGAGGCCCTGTCTTAAAGCAAGGAGGGGGAAAGTCACTGGAAGCTGGAAGTGGCAGGACATACTTGTCACCCCAGCATGTGGCAGCCTCAGGCAGGACCCCGGTGACCCCCACAATCCTCCTAAGCCCCCCATCCCCCCTTCCCGAAGTAAAGGACAACTGGCCTTGAAAAAAAAAACCTGTTAGCTTGTTTTAATCCTCCAGAAGGGTACAGAGATAAAGAAGGCTCTGAGTGGAGCAGGTCTGAGGTCGGGCCCTGGACTGCCTGTGAGGTAGGTGCCTTCGGTCACCCATGTGGTCATGTCAGACATGCAGCTGGACATTGTATCTGCTGATTAACAACCAAGAGGCCTGGGCCTCAGCACGTGACCATACCTGTGGCTGGGTTTATGAAGCAAAGGAAGGAAGGGGCGTGGGCCGGGGCAGAGTGAAGGAAACTGGGTGTGATGGTATCTACTGCGTGATTCCTCCAACAACTATGTCAGGCTTCCAGAAGAGAAATTAGGGCCCAGCGTAAATCAGATTATAGCTTCAGTACAGCGAGCCACTCCTCCAAGTTTGGGGGACTCGGGGGACTCTGCTGAAGTTCAAGTTCCCAGATACTGGTGAGCACCCAGCTTGGCAGCTGGCCTTCCTGTGAATAGCAGCCATAGATCTTTTATACTAACGCTGCTCATGTGTACAAGTCTGGAATTTGGAAGAATTTAAAGCCACTGAAGCCTTGTCTGTAATTCGAGTACTCTACAGGCTGAGGCAAGAGGATCAAAACTTCAAGGGCAGCCTTTGCTACATGGTGAATTTGAAGCAGCCTAGAGTGTTGTAATATTGGGCGGCGGGGCTGTGTCCCCAGCACCCCGGCCACCTGGCTAGCTTATGCCCCGAAATAACAACACACAAATTGTATTCATTTAAACACTGCTTGGCCCATTATATCTAGCCTCTTCTCGGCAAACACTTGCACCTGGACTAGCCCATTTCTAATAATCTGTGTAGCCCATGAGGTGGCTTACCAGGGAGATTCTAGCCTACGTCCATCTGGGGTCGGAGCTTCATCGTGTGTGCCCGGGAGTGGGGAGCATGGCATCTGCTCGAGAGAGCAGAGCTGTCGAGTCTGACCTCACTTCCTCTTCCTCCCAGCATTCTGTTCTGTTTACTCCACCCACCTATGTTTTAACCTATGAGGCCAAGCAGTTTCTTTATTATAATTAACCAGTGACCTTCCTCCATCACTAGAGTACGTGAAATTTTATCTCAAAGGTTTCCAGGGATGGCAAAGGCCATATTGGTGCTGCCAGAGTCTGGAAAGGGACAAATGGCAGGGGATAGCAGAGGAGTTGGGACACTCAGGGGCCGTACCAAAGGAAAAGAGACTTTTTAGTTATAGAATCCTTCTTCAGGTGTGTGTGTGTGTGTGTGTGTGTGTGTGTGTGTGTGTGTGAGAGAGAGAGAGAGAGAGAGAGAGAGAGAGAGAGAGAGAGACAGGTAGAAGCTATGTCAGGCCATCCAATGTCTTCCTCTCTACCTCATTGTCTGGAGAGTGGGCTCCTCACTGAACTGGAAGCTCACCATTATGACTAGGCTACCTGGCTGATTAGTGAGCTAATGTCTTTGCTTCCCAAAGCTTGGGGATTGCAGGCGCACACAGATGTGCCCGGCCTTTTACATGGGTGGCAGGTTTCGGACTCAGATTCTTATGTTGGTAGAGCAAATGCCATTAGCACTGAGTCATCCCCACAGCCCCTAGAATCCTTTCATGTCTTCTTACTTTGAGATATGTTCTCCTGTGTAGACCCAGTTAGCCTAGAACTTGCAGTGGAGGCCAACCAGCCTGGCCCCAGAAGTACAGCCGTCCTGGCTTGTCCTGGCTTTGTCTCCCTTACGTGCTGGGATTATTGGCAAGTGCCATCTACCCCAGATGGGTTTTTTGTTTTGGTTTGGATTTTTTTTTGTTTGGTTGGTTGGTTTTCTTACTGTTTTAGTATCCCTGGCTGACCTTGATCTCCTGATTCTCTGTTTCCAAAGTGCTGAATTACGTACACATTCCAACTCACCCAGCACCCTGTTTCTTTAGTGGTATGTAAGAACCCAACATTCACTGCTTTGATTTAAGAGGAGCTCCAGAGCCGGGCAGTGGTGGCGCACACCTTTAATCCCAGCACTTGGGAGGCAGAGGCAGGCAAATCTCTGTGAGTTCGAGGCCAGCCTGGTCTACAAGAAATAGTTCCAGGACAGCCAAACAGCCAAAGCTACACAGAAAAAGCCTGTCTTGAAGAAAGAAAGAGAGAGAGAGAGAGAGAGAGAGAGAGAAAGAGCGAGCTCCAGAATCTGGCTAGTCGCCTTTTCAGATACCCCAGTCCTTACTCAGGACTCTCCTGATCAGTTCTGTATTCCCAGGTTCCTCCCCTGGGCCTGCTCACTGTTGCATCTACAAACGGTCACCATCTCTAGCAAAAACTAGAATAATGCCTTCCTTTAATTTTATTTTTATATAGACTTTCATCACTTGGGATGTTTGCCTGCTGGAAGGTGAAGGAGATCACGGACAGAGAGTGAGTAGCTAATAAAGGTACAATTTGGCTTAATGCTTTGAAACATTTGTTAGATTTACACATGAACAAGTTGATATCTTCAGCTAGAAGCTTTCCTAGTATTGGGAAATATGCTTCCTGTGGGGCTGGAGAGATGGCTCAGCAGATAAGAGCACTGGCTGCTCTTCCAGAGGATCTGGGTTCAGTTCCCAGCACCCAGATAATGGCTCACAGTCATTTGTAATTCCAGAAACAACCTCTTATATAACCTCTATGGTCACAAACATGTATGCAGGCAACACCCATACAAATAAAAGCAAAGTAAATAAACCTCCAAAAATGCTGCCAGTAATGGGTACAAGGAGAAACCCTTCCAGACATCCTGAAAGGATACAGGAGCATGCTGTGAAGCAAGGACTTTTCAGTGTTTATTCCTTAGGATTTGTGCTCACGAGTGCATGTGGGCCAGAGGACAGTCTGCAGGAGTCGGTTCTGCCCTTCCAACACGTGGGCTTCGGGGGTTGAACTCGGGCTGAGTTGGTGGTAAGCACCCCTAACCCTGAGCCATCTCACTGGGATTTATGATGTAGATACCCAGGGATTGACCCCAAGACTGCCTTCTCCCTGGCCCAGGTGCTGCTGGGAATTTCCTCTAAGTTGGATGGCAGTTCCTCCCACCAAGCCTTCTATGCTTTCTGCTCGTGTTGGGGTGACCATGGACCATGTAGAATCTAAAATTCCTGAAATAAGCTGTTTTCTTTTCCTTTATTCTGCAGTGCTAGGATCAAATAGAGTCATGTGCATGGTAGGCAAACGGTCTACAACTGGACTACATCCCCAGCGTAGAATATGCTCTTCTATTTCTTTTTTTTTTCTTTCTTTCTTTCTTTTTTTTTTTTTTTTGTTTTTTTTTTTTTTTTTTTCGAGACAGGGTTTCTCTGTGGCTTTGGAGCCTGTCCTGGAACTAGCTCTGTAGACCAGGCTGGTCTCGAACTCACAGAGATCCGCCTGCCTCTGCCTCCCGAGTGCTGGGATTAAAGGCGTGCGCCACCATCGCCCGGCTCTTTCTTTCTTTTTTCTTTTTTTTCCTGGCTTTTCAAGATAGGGTTTTTCTGTGTAGCTTTGGAGCCTATACTGGTACTCACTCTGTAGACCAGGCTGGCTTCAAACTCACAGAGTTCGCCTGTCTCTGCCTCCAGAGTGCTGGGATTAAAGGTGTGCACCACCACCACCTGGCTAGCTGTTGTCTTTCTTTATCCTAATTCTATAAAATTAAAAATCTTTCTTTGGGTGAATTGGAATATACTGAACTATAGTTTCTTGCCAGACGTGGTGACCCACGTCTGTAATCTCAGCATTTTGGGGTTGAGGCAGGAAGAATCTTATCATCAGCTGGAAGAAAATCTGGGCTACATAGTGAGTTTCAGACCAGCTGAGGCTATAGTATGAGACCCTGTCTCAAACAAAGTAAGAGTGGACAATGGTTCAGTTGTTGATCTTACATTGTATGTATATGACCAATTGATGACTGTTTTGCCTGCATGCATATCTGTGCACCAATTGATACCTGGTGCCTATGGTAGTGAGCCATCATGGGGGTGTGGGAATCGAACCTACACTGTAAGAATAACAAGTATTCTCAACCACTGAACCACTTTTTGATCTTGTAGAAGACCAGGATTGTAGGTTCCCAGCATGCACATGGTAGCTCACAACCATCTATAACTCCAGTTCCAGGAGATCCAACACCCTCTTCTGACCACTGAGGGCACTAGGCACACACATGATACATGTACATATATGCAGGCAAAACACTCGTACATGTGAAACAAGGAAATCTAAAAAAGAAAATTAAAAGACAACAACAAAACTTGACTGGTTCTGCTTAGCAGTTCCTTCAACAGTTCATCGAAAACCAGAAGCCCTACTATAATCCCTGAAATTCCACCTGCTTCTTGTCATTTAGGATTTAGATTGGGACTCCAAGAACAGTAGTTGAGCCTGTGCTGTTTGCCTGTTCTTCCTTCCTGGTCTTACCTGTAGGTTGGAAGTAGCAGCTACCTGTGCTGTCTGTGAGCCACACAGACAGTAGCTGTTAGTAGCTTTGTAATTAATGAAATTAGGAAGGAAAATCGTGAGGCTCGTTATTAAAGAAGTCAGTCGTGAAGTATAGCCTTGAGATCTGGACTTGAGACTTCCTGACTAAGAGTTCTGTGGTGGATTTCATTTGTATTTTAATAAGTAAAGCTTGCCTGCGGATCAGAAAGTAAAACAGCCACAGTGTCCAGCCTTGCAGACCAGGCAGCAATGACACAGACCTTTAATCCCAGGAGCCACACTAGCATGCCATAGACACCAGGCAGTAGTGGTGCACTCCTTTAATCCCAGCACTAAAGAGAAATTTAAGCGGCGGGGGGGGGGGGGGGGGGGGGGGGACAGCTCTCAGTCACAGTCTCATTCTGAGATTCCTGGAGGCAGGATCGCCATTTTGGACTGACGTAGAGATGAGAGCCAGTGACTGGCTGTTTTACTTTTCTGACCTTCAGGTTGAACCTCAATTTCTGTCTCTCAGTTTTTATTAATTGTGCTTCAGAGTTGGTCATGTTTATGTATGCATGCATTTAAGCTTGTGAAATCCTTTTTCTTATCACCAAAGCATGGTCTTTACAAACCCAAGTGTGTTGGCCCTCAGCCCCAGTGGCCCGATGGACACAGGGCACGGGAAACGCAGCACCCGTTGTCCAGTGCTTGTGTCCGTGCTTGTGCGCCAAGCTCAGCGGAGCAGCACTGCACCTGGGAAGTAACGCCCAGCTGTTCTCCATTTCAGGGCGCGTGCAGCATGGCTGTAACTGGGCTCAGACTGCTCACTGGTGCTCTAAGAAAGCCAGACGCCTGGCTCGGACTCTGGGGTGTGCTTCAAGGAACCTCTCCAGACAAACTCTGTGCTTCCTGGAATCGATACTTATATTTTTCTAGTTCCAAGTTAAACGCATTAAATTATAAAACACTTTTCCGTAGCATTTTTCCTCTGCGACTCCCAGGGCTGTTAGTAGCTCCAAAATGTACTTTTCCATTTTCCATACGACTCAAAAGCAATATAAACTCCAAAAAATCCACTAGAAAGACTCTGCAAAAAGATGCAGATGAAGAAGACTCCGATGAGGAGATCCATCACCCCGAGAGGAGTGAGCAGGAAGAAGAGCTTGAGGATGACCCTGGTGTGGTCAAGGACTACAAAGACCTGGAGAAAGTGGTCCAGTCTTTCCGGTACGATGTCATCCTGAAGACAGGCCTTGATATTGGGAGAAAGTGAGTATGATGGACCGCCCATCTGGTTAGTGTCGTGCCACACTAACTTGGCCTCTGCTGTGGGGAATAATAACCATAGTTGTGAAAGGTAACCTATTCCATACGTCACTCTGCAGATGAAAGGACTGACTCCCGAGGAAGCACCTGACTACCATGTTTCCTCGATCGGAACACAATTGGTGTGCTCTGAGTCATTGACTTAATGACATCTCTCCCTTTTCTCCACAGTGTGTCCTTGTACATGGTAGGCAAGTGTTCTGCTACTGAACCATGCCTCTGCCCCTAGTAGCGACCTCTAAAAGAGAAAGAAATCATTTTATTAGAGACGCACAGCTGCAAACCCCACTGATTTCCCACACCTACAGTCTGAGGAAGTACATTCCAGAGTCAGTGGGAGGAGTAGAAGGTGATGGTTTAGAACACGGGCTTTTGGGACTAGCGCGTTAGCTCGGTGGGTCAGTGTCGTTATTAAGTCTGATGACCTGAGTTTAATCCCTGGGATCCACAGAGTATAAGGAAAACACTGACTCCCACAGGCTGTCCACAGACCTCCACATATGTGCCTTGGACACATGTGCCCACAGCATTCACACATACACATACAATAATTAAGAAAAAAAAGAATACAGTTTCTGGCCAGTGAAATGGCTCAGTGGGTAAAGGTGCGTGCATATAGTCTGCCCATCTGAGCTCTAGTCCCTGATCCCAGGAGACAGGAGAGGACTGGTTCCCAAGAGTGTTCTGACCTTCCACAGACTCGCTGTGGCACACAGTCTCTCACATACGAAAGGATACAGCGTCTTGAGCTAGAGTGCTGGGTCAGGCCTACGATCCGAGCACCTGAGGCTAAGTGTTGGAAGCAGCCAAGCTACATACTATGGTACTACAGGTGATCTCTGTGAGTTCGAGACCAACCTCAGAGCTACTCTGAAAAAATCTGGCAAAAAAAAACAAACCAAAAAGTGGGTCCTTGGGCCAAACTACTAGTATGTGACCTTAAGCATGTTAGGAATTTTGTTGTTCCTTTTTAAAAACTGTTTATGCAGTGTTTGAATGACAGGCAGCGGTGTGCATGTGGTATCACATGTAGCCAGAAGACTCATGTGTAAGGCTGCTTCTGTCCTTGTAGCTTTGTGGGTTCCAGCTTCTGAGTTTCATCTCACAGGCCCCCTTTCACCTTTTAAAGCCACAGAATCACTCAATAGCTCATGCTGGCCTAGAACTTACAATTTAGTTCCTGACAGCCTCAACCTCGCTGAAATCCTGCTTTAGCCTCCTAATGCAGGACTGCAGGGACGAGCCACCAGGATTAAAATCTGTAGACACTGTGGCTGGGCCCGCGTGTAGCAGGCACCCCATGCAGTTTGGCTGTTGTAAACCCTGAGTCACATGCAGTGCACAGAAGTGGGAATTTGAGATTTCTTTAGCATATTTATTCTCTCTGCTGATGTTCTGTTCTGGTGGTGCCCTTGCTGTTTGTTCATCCCTTTAGCAGTCATGGATGGTGTGTATATGAGGACGAGTGTGACAGGCGCACACTCAAGATTTCCGCAGACCTTTAATCCCAGCACTTGGGAGACAGTCACGGCAGTCTCTGAGTTCAACGCCAGCCTGGTCACAGAGCAAGTTCCAGGACGGCCAGCTACTTGTCTCAGGAAAAAAATCCCTTATGTAATGTGTATCTTTATGGAATAGTTAATTGTGTGTTTCACTTTGTTTAAATTCATGGAACGTAAAAGAGAGCAGTGGCCATTGCTTTTATGGAGCCGAGCCCTGATGTCAGTCTTCCTGAGTCAGGTCATCAGAAGGGAGGCTTTGTTTGTGTCTGTGTCTTGTCTGGTCTGTCACCAGAGATTCAGACCGAAGAGTGGCTGCCAGACTGGAATTACCCAACCTCAGTGCGCACAGGCGGTTCCTTGATGGCATCTCTGTATGTGTGCACCTGGTGTTTCTGTCCCCGTGCAGAGCAGGAAGCCGAGGACAGGAAGGACCCACTCATTCTGACCACTGTGACTCACTGAGCTGCTGCCATGTGGTCACTTCTGAAATGGCCCGCAAGGCCCCATGCAGCAGTCACCTGCCTGAGTGCAGGGGGCCTCTCGGCCTCAGAAATGCCCTTTGGGCTCCCTGTTGGAGATGTCTGTAGATGGTGCCCACTTTCACCTGGCATCTCACACTTTTCACTGGAAATGCAGGGGTTTTTGTTTTGTGGGGACTCACTGAGTGGGTACTGACAGCTGGTGTTTTTCTCAAAGCTGTGTGGTCGTTGAGTTTATTTACATTTCAAATCTTTTTTCTTTTTAATAGCAAAGTAGAAGATGCATTCTACAAAGGTGAACTCAGACTGAATGGAGAAAAATTATGGAAGAAGAGCAGAACGGTGAGCCATCCAGCATGTAATGACAGCCACATGGTCCTGCCTGTTGCCCTGCTAGTCAGTGCTGTCCCCAAGTCCCCCTTGGGCCCTGGTGCCCTCTCTGAGGGCTTCCGTCCTGGTCACGCTGATGGGAATTGTCTGTGGGCCACCATCTCTCCTCAGTCTTCGTGACCTTATGAGTCAGAAGAATTGGAATAAGCTAGTGTTAGCCCCATGGAGTCATGGAGGTAGATTACAGAGAAAGGTCTGACTGGGAAGGTGCTGCCTGAGCGGGTGGACAGTGCTGTTCACTTCAGTAGGTCTTGTAGGAGCTCTGCTCTCAGAAGGGCAGCTGGCACAGTGATGTTTTGTAATTCTGACAAGTTCATGTTGATACTGTTAATTGAAAGAGGTCAAGTCAGGGTCATGATGCTTCCTTGATGTACCAGCACTGGCTGGGGCCGAACATCATGAGTCCCAGGGCACCCAGGGGTACACACTGAGACCTTATTTCAAAATAAACAAAACCAAACAAAAATGATTCATAAGAGAATGTACTTCAATATCTGCTTTCTAACAACAGATCTGTTTGTCTGATACACACACATAGGTAAAAGTAAAATTCTATTAAAAATAGTCTTTGTGTGTATACCAGCACATGGGAAATGGAGAAAGGATCAGGAGTTATAGGCCAGATTGTGCTATGTGAAACCCTATCTCCACAATATATTCAGACATGCATATACGCACTATGTGTGTGTAGTGATAGACACGGTGACACACACCATGGAAGGCAGAATCAGGAAGACTGCTACAGACTCAGCCAGTTAAGTGTACTTGCCTAGTTCCAGGCTAGCCAAAACTACATCTCAACAAAACAAACAATGTACACATGCATGTTTATAGATATTATATATGGCTTTTGAGACAGAGTTTCTCTATGTAACAGCCCTAGCTGTCCTGGAACTCACTTTGTAGAGCAGGCTGGCCTTGAGCTCTCAGAGATCTGCCTGCCCCTGCCTCCCAAGTGCTAGGATTAAAGGTGTGCGTCACCACTGCCTGGCTATGTTACATATATTCTTAATTAAAAATTACTAGTACTTAGAATAGATTATTGTGGAATATATTAAGGTTTTAAATCTTGTTTTTTGTGTATGTGTATTTTGCTTATCTGCATATGCATGCAGTTCCTGTGAGGTCATAGGTCCCCTGGAATTGAAGCTGCAGATGACTGTGAGCCTCTTGAGAGTCCTGGTAACCAAACCAGAGTCTCTCCAGCCCCGTATTCATTCTCTTCATGCTTTTTATATTTCGAAAATTAAATGCTTTTTAGATTTATGTGTATATGTGTTTTGCCTGCATATATGTATATGCACGATGTATGTGCCTGGTGCCCACAGAGGCCAGAAGAGTATCAGGTCTCCCTGAACATAGGTTGTACGATGTATGTGCCTGGTGCCCACAGAGGCCAGAAGAGTATCAGGTCTCCCAGAACATAGGTTGTGAGCCACTGTGTGAGTACTGGGAACCAAACCCATAGTTCTGCAAAAGCAAAAGTGCTCCTAGCTGCTGAGCCAACTCTCCAGCTCTCCTGCATTCATTTTCATGTCTTCTATTTTCTGGCTTTTTAGAACATGTATTTAGTTGTGGGAGCAGGGAATGTGGGTTCATGAATGTCACAGTTTGGATGTAGAGTGGAGGACAACTTGAAACTTGAAGGGGTGGATTCTTTCTTCCTCCTTGTGTTCAGGGATCAAACTCAGGTCATCAGGCCTTGCTGCAAGTGCTGAGCCATCTGCCCTCTGAGATATAAATAATGAGTGTTTGATTGAGACAGAGTCTCACTATTGTTGCCCGGGCTGACCTGGAACTCACTCTGTAGATCTGCCTGCCTCTGCCTCTTGAGGGCTGGCATTAAAGAATGTTTGACCTTGCTTTTTAACCATGAGATTATATCACTTAGCAAAACTCAATAAAGGAGATATAAAAATCTTTAATTAAAAGCTAGAAAGCAGCACTCGGGCTGTATGTAGCTTGGCTGATAGAATGCTTGCCTAGCGTGTAAAGAAGCCCCGGGTTCAACCCCTCAGTGACACACAAACCTTAACCCCATCAAGAAGAAGGGTCAGAACTTCAGAGTGGATTTGAGGCCAACCTGAAACCTGTCTTTTGGTGTCATGCTTAGAAACATAACTTGTTGGGGGCTGGAGAGATGGCTCAGAGGTTAAGAGCACTGACTGTTCTTCCAGAGGTCCTGAGTTCAATTCCCAGCAACCACATGGTGGCTCACAACCATCTGTAATGAGGTCTGGTGCCCTCTTCTGGCCTGCAGGCATACACACAGACAGAATATTGTATACATAATAAATAAACAAATATTTAAAAAAAAAAAAAAGCCGGGCGGTGATGGCACACGCCTTTAATCCCAGCACTTGGGAGGCAGAGGCAGGTGGATCTCTGTGAGTTAGAGACCAGCCTGGTCTACAAGAGCTAGTTCCAGGACAGGCTCCAAAACCACATAGAAACCCTGCCTCAAAAAACAAAAAACAAAAGAAAGAAATAATGAAAGAAACATAACCTGTTAGTAGTGAGGCGTGATGAAGAGACAGACAGAGTTTGGAAGAGGGGGTTTTATTTTTCTTCCTTTCACATTCCCAAAGCCTGCTAGGCAGGATCTGCTCCCTCGCGTTGCTCTGGGATGTAGAACAGTGAGCGTGTCATCTGTTTGCATTGGTGAACCTTGAGGCTCCTCCAGTCCTTGTCCCTGGGGATCATGCAGTCGTTACTGATGCCTCTGCCCACAGAAAGAGGGGCAACTTCTTCCATTTGGTCTCAACTCCTAGTCAAGGCCAAAGAGCTCTGATAACCTTGGGCTGAATCATCTGTCAGCCATTGTTCAGTGACCTGCACAAAAGCCAGTGCTCCAGACGGGCCCTTCTCTACCCCTCTGCTGCTATCTTGACTGTAGCCGAACTGCCTTCTCTGCTGTATTACCTTCTGAACACCCCTGTTGGAGCCCCGTGCAAACTCCACAGCCTGTTCTTCCCTGCTTTGAGGTATTGTTAACCACAGCCTAATTACTGGGCTTCATTCTGCCTTGGGTGTTCTGTCCTTTCGGCTGCTTTCCAGATTTTCCTGAGGGTCAGGAAAGGCAGAGGCCAATATTAACACTCGGCTGCCTTGTTACTAGGAGGCCTGGTAGTCATAGAAACTGCAGCTAAGCGGAGATTTGAAATGTAGATATTTGAAACAGCCACTAATCCCAGCCAGTTTTGCTTTGTGTCTGAGAGGACCAGGCCTCGGATGGGACTAAATAAAGCATGCCTGCTTCCCTAGCCTGCTCCATGGAACCAGTGCCTGGCTACAGGCCCTGAGGGTCCAGCATGCCTGTCGCTGCAGCTCAGCTCCCCCGAGTCATCACCTGCCACCAAACAGGTTTTCTGTGTTCTGCAAACTAGGTGGTCCAGAGTGCACCAGGCTGTGCAAGCCTGTTCTGACAGTGGCTTGAGAAACCCAAGATGGGACTGATGACGTCCTAACTCACCTCCCAGGGTGGAGTGGGCTAAGAGGAGACATCTGAACCCTAGAAGGAAGACATGTCATCACCTTTTTCCCTTTTATAAACGCTTTTATTAGTACATATTAATTATAATATTTCATTGCATGCATATGATGTATTTTGAGCATATTTCCCTCCCCATTGCCCTCTCGTGCCCACCACCTCCGCCTTTCCCAGCTGCTCACCCTTGTGTTTGCATGGAGCTTTTCTTCCTCCTCCTCCTCCAACCTCCACACAGGCCTTGGTACATATGCGCTTCACCCCCAAAATAGAGAAACTTTCCAAAACCTAAGTTGGGGGCTCAAGAGATGGCTTTAGCAGCTAAGAGCACTTGCTGCTCTTCCAGAGGCCCTGGGTCAATTCCCAGCACCTGTATTACATGTGGGTCACAGCTGCCTGTGCCTCCAATTCCAAGGGGATCCATTGGTCTGTCTTCCAAGGGCACCAGACATGCACATGGCACACAGACATGTAGGTAAAATACCCACACATAAAATAATAATAAATAATAAATAAAATAATAAATGAGAAAACATTTAAGTTTTAATAGGCCAGCTTCTAAGCTGTGCATTTGTTTCTTTATGGAAGAGGAGACTTGGTTTCTTGTTTGTTTTATACGTACTCTTTTAAGAGATTTTTTTAAATTTTTATGTGAATGGGTGTTTTGCCTAGATGTATGTCTGTATGCTACGTGTATGCCTGGTACCCATGGAGGCCAGACGAGTGTCAGATCCCCTGGAAATGCAGTTCTAAGTGGCAAGAATATTGATCACTGGTAACCACTGAGCCAGCTCCCCAGGCCCTTCAGTAGAGGCAGCAGCCCACATAGGAGCTGCTTTAAGCCAAGAGAAGCAGTGGTCCTGGCTTATATTTGGCAGAACAGCAGTGGATGGCCAGGTTATGTTAAGCCCCTCTTGAGTTCCTGGTCAGATTCTCTAATATTCTGAGCTCCTTGGACCCAGCTACTTCTGCCAGGTGTTTCCCTTGTGTCCAGCACAGACTAAGCCCTTGCTACTGGACCCTGGAGATAACATGGCTGCTCCAGAGTGTGGGTTGACAAGCTTTAGTCACAAGTCCTCTGGTAAGATTAGTTTGGCCTCAGCCCCTCTAGCCAACTCTTGCTCTTTCTGTGCGGTCCTCCTTCCGTGAGTATGCTGGCGAGGTAGCCCACCACTGCTCCATGGTGACAGATGTGTAACCATTTTAGGAAGGTCACCTAGGTTAGAAATAAGTGCCAATATTCTTCCTGGTTCATCTAGTACTTTCTTTGTACATTCTTGCTGAGTGTGCCCCACTTTTCTGTGTTTTACAGTGTTCCTCAGACAGGCAGGTGTGTTCAGTACTCCTCCAGTTCCCTGACTGATGGCCATCCATCTGCCAGTCATCTCCGTCAGGAAAGTACTGCCTGGATCCAGCCCCTCTGCTTGAGGCTCCCTCATATGTCTACCCACAATGCAATTCAGACCTAGGGTGACTGTCAGAGAAGTCAGGGCTCTTCTCACTTGTTCTTCCTGTGTGACAACCACCACATTAAAACGGGGGGGGGGGGGGCTGGAGGGATGGCTCAGAGGTTAAGAGCACTGACTGCGCTTCCAGAGGACCCAGGTTCAGTTCTTGGCATTCATGTGGCAGCTCAGAATTATCTGCAACTCAGTTACAGGATTTTTTTTTTTTTTCTGAGACACGGTTTCTCTGTGTAGTCCTAGCTGTCCTGGAATAGCTCTGTAGACCAGGCTGGCCTTGAACTCACAGAGACTCACCTGCCTCTGCCTCCCGAGTGCTGGGATTAAAGGCTGGCTCAGTTCCAGGAGTCTTGATGCCTTAACACAGATGTAGAAACAGGGAAAACACCAGTGCACACGAAACTGAAACAACAACAAAAACAACAAAGCAGGGCTGGTTTTTTGTTTGTTTTGTTTTGTTTTGTTTTTTGAGACAGGGTTTCTCTGTGGCTTTGGAGCCTGTCCTGGAACTAGCTCTTGTAGACCAGGCTGGTCTCGAACTCACAGAGATCCGCCTGCCTCTGCCTCCCGAGTGCTGGGATTAAAGGCGTGCGCCACCATGGAGTAAAGGCGGTTTCCCTTCTGTTGGCAGGTGAAGGTGGGAGATACACTGGATCTCCTCATTGGAGAGAACAAAGAGACGGGGACAGAAGTGGTGATGCGGATTCTCCTGAAAGCCGTCTATGATGAGAAGACGGAAAGCGACAAGCACCGAGTGCTGTTGCGACGGTGGAAGAACTTAAAGCTGCCAAAGACTAAATGACCACGCCGTCTCCCCACGGCTGCTTCCTGCTGTCAGAGGGGCCACCGTGCAAAGAGGGCGTTTTTACTGAAATAAAGTTCTGTCATTTGTGGGATCACTGGAGCATTTTGTGGAAGCTGGGATCTGGGTTTTCTCCTCCTGCGCTCCCTTGTCCTGCAGAAACCAGTCCAGGAGCCCAGGCCAGAGAGGACGTCATGACCTGCCACCATTTTCCACACTGACTACCTCAGGAGTCATTGTCAAATAAACTGGCCTTGTCTCTTTGTGGGTTTTATTTATGGAATTTGTTTTATTTTGTTAGACAGGGTCTCCCTGTATAGCCGAGTAGCCTCAAAATCAGAATCACTGCCTCTGCCTCCTGAGTACTAGGATACAGAGGCAAGCCCTCCCACACCTGGCTAGTTTTATTTTTTTTCATTCTGTGAAAACCTAGGCTGGCCTTGAATTCCTGATCTTCCTGCCTCTAACTCCCAAGAGCAAGAACTATAGAATAGACGTGTAACACCCGTCCCTGCTTCTTGGTGTTTATTTAAATATTTGCTGCCTAGGGACTATTTCCCATATTCAGATTTTTTGTGGCTAAAATTAACGGAGTCAAGATTGCCTTTCAGATTATGACCGGACAGATTGGAGAGAACCTTTTACCACTGTTAAACTAGTTTCAGTTGTCTCTGGTTTGTCTTCTACAGTCCAGAGGAGTGAAGCTGCCCCTCCAATTCCAACTGGTCTACTTAGAGTCCACTAGGAGTGGTTTATTTAGGGCTCATAGGTAAACCAATGTAGCCAGACGCTGGCTTCCTAATGACCCTCAAACTAAAATGGCTTCAACATTTTAATGTTCAGGCTTAAGAGCTCTGCTCTTCCAGATGACTCAGGTTCAGTTCCCAGCACCCACATGACAGCTCACAATCGTCTGCAACTCCAGGGGATTCAATGTCCTCTTCTAGCCTCTGTAGGTACCAAGCATATGCATGGTTCACAGGGAGATAAAACGCCCATACATGGAAAATACAATTTTTACTTTAAAAATTTTAACCTTATATACTTGTACGTATATGTACACATACATATAAGACAGTTGCTATGACCTATCAAGCCTGAAATATTTGTTATCTGCCCCTTAGAACAATAGTTGTTCTAACCCTCACAAGAGCCTTACACAAAGGACTAAAACTAAATGGAGAGTAGAGCCGGCCGGGCCAGTGGTGGTGCACACCTTTCATCCCAGCCCTCGGAAGGCAGAGGCAGGTGGATCTATCATGTGTGAGGCCAGGCCTGGCCTAGATGAGCTAGTTCAGGACATCTAGGGCTGTTACACAGAGAAAACCTGTTTTGAAAAACCAAAAAAAAAAAAAAAAAAAAAAAAAAAAAAGCAGAGCTGAGCACATGCGCACACGACAGGACATCCATGGCATGTACACTCGGGAGCCAGGTCTAAGGAAGGAGCCCTTCAAAGACTCCGCCCTGTCCTCGTTTGTCCACAACTGTCTGAGATCGCAGAAGTCTGAGAGCAAAGGGAGCTTCCAGAGACTCCAGAGCACTTAAGTTGGTACCCATGAGTCAAGTTGCTCATCATGTTTTGGAGAACTCAAGAAAATTTGCCTTTATTTGAAAATTTAAACTCTTAGCCGGGTGGTGGTGGCGCACGCCTTTAATCCCAGCACTTGGGAGGCAGAGGCAAGCGGATCTCTGTGAGTTCGAGGCCATCCTGGTCTACAAGAGCTAGTTCCAGGACAGGGTCCAAAACTACAGAGAAACACTGTCTCGAAAAACCAATTAAACAAAACAAACAGAACAGGGTCTAAAACTATAAGAGAGTCTCAAAAATAAACAACAAGAATAAAACCCTCATTTTAGGGGCTGGAGAGATGGCTCAGGGGGTTAAGAGCACTGGTTGCTCTTCCAGAGGTCCCAGGTTCAATTCCCAGCAACCATATGGCAACTCATAACTGCCTATAGCTTCTGTTCCAAGGGATCTGACACCCTCACACAGACATACATGCAGGCAAAATACCAATGTACTAAAAAAAAAAAAAACTATAACTAAATCATAAAATTAAAAAGAAAGAAAATTTAAACTCCTAAGGACCAGTGAGATGACTTGATGGGTAAAGGCACTTGCCTGGTGACCTGAATTCATTCCCTCAGACCCACATGGTGGAAGGAGAGAACCAATCCTCTGGCCCCCACACACATGCTAAGGTGCACCCCGAATTAGTTCATTTTTAAAGTTTTAAAGCTGGGTGTAGTGTTGCACACATTTCCCAGCCCTAAGGAAGGCAGGGCAGGTGGATTTCTTTTTTTTTTTTTTTTTTTTTTTTTTTTTTTTTTGGTTTTTCGAGACAGGGTTTCTCTGTGGCTTTGGAGCCTGTCCTGGAACTAGCTCTGTAGACCAGGCTGGTCTCGAACTCACAGAGATCCGCCTGCCTCTGCCTCCCGAGTGCTGGGATTAAAGGCGTGCGCCACCACCGCCCGGCCTTTTTTTTTTTTTTTTTTTATTTTTTTTGGCAGGTGGATTTCTATGAGCTCAAGGTCAGCTCAAATTTTTGTTTTAAAATGTTTTAAAAACTTAAACTCTTTAGGAAGAAATAATAAATACTGTGTAAAAGTACAACATGGGCCGGGTGCTGATGGTGCACACCTTTAATCCCAGCACTTGGGAGGCAGAGGCAGACGAATCTCTGTGAGTTCGAGGCCAGCCTGGTCTACAAGAGCTAGTTCCAGGACAGGCTCCAAAGCTACAGAGAAACCCTGTCTTGAAAACAACAACAAAGCCAAAAACAACAACAAAAAGTACAACACAGAATTTCTGTTTTCATCACTTGTTATTTTGGCTTTTCTGAGTTATCAGTTAAAAATATAGTACTTTAATTTCCATGTAACAAAGTTATAATTAATTATATAGCCATTATTCATCTCCTCCTATCCTCTCTCCCTTCCCTCTTCCTGAGCTTCTCTTTGCAAAGCCAGTAGGAAACTCGAGAAGCCTTGGATGGTGAAAGCATGTAATTCAGCAGCAGGTTTCCTGAAAAGCGCGCACTCTGTTGGTAGGTGAGTTGTGACCAGAACTTTATCTCTGCATCTCCCAGTCCTTACTGGACAAACAAGGATCAGAACAGGAGAAAGCAGAGCAGGAAAAGCCTTTTAAGGCTTCAGTATGTAACTGGGCCGGCCTTTGGTCTTGGCTGTCTACCTGCTGGATTCCAGGTGGACACAGCCACCGCTGGCTCAGAGGCAGCCATTCAAAAGGACATTAGTAATTTTTACCTGGCTTAGCCACTTAGCAGATTGTACCCATCCCCAACTACAGTTTTTAAAAATCAAACTGTCGGCCAGGTGTAGTTACACACGCCTTTAACCCCAGCACTCAGGAGGCAGAGGCAGATGAATTTTTGTGAATTCAAGGCCAGCCTGGTCTACATAGTTCCAGAGCAGCCAAAGCTACATGATGAGACTCTGTCTCGGGTGGGGAAAAAAAAAAGAAAGAAAGCAAAACAAAACAAAATAATCTCCGTCCCCGCCGGCGGTCCGTCCGGGTCGGTCGCCGTGGTCCCCTCGCCGGGGCGCGGCGTAGCCAAAAAAAAGAAAAAGAAAAAAAAAATCAAACTAAGGGCTCACTGGCCAAAAGCCTGTACTACTCTTGGGGAAGAGCAGAGTTTAGTTTCTGGCACCCATATCAGGTGGTTCAAAATCCCCTGTAACGCCAGTTCCAGAGGATACAATGTTTCTGTGGGCACCCAGACTCCCCATATACACATAATTAAAAATAAAGTTAACTCTTACAGTGTTCTAAAAATCAAACTGACATCTGATTACAGATTACGTGAGCCTAACCATGCAGCAGGAGACTGATGTCTCGGGGGTAGCCTCCAGTGTGAGGGCCTGGAACATATTTATGAAAACTAGCAGAAACGTAAGAGCAATCCATAATGATTCATGGCGCTCTGACAACTCACTCATTACTGAAGCTGAACGACAGCTGCCTTTTAATGTGGTCCTGGCAAGACATACCCAGTCAAAATGTGACCAACATAATGAGTTGATCAAAGACGGCCCCTGGAGACAGTCGAAGGCAGGGGTTCTCAACGTGGGGCAACTTGCCCACTTTCCCTGGGGCATTTGGCAATAATTATGTTTTTAGTCATCACGATGGACAGGATACTAGGGACACCAAGAAATGAGAGCCCGAAGATGATGCTGAACATCCCATAATGTCCAGTGTCCAACAGGGCAGCATGTTAGCAGTGCTGAGGTTGGAAAATCCTGTTCTAATAGGATGATAATGGGGGGGACCCTGAACAGTTAAAATAAACACATCCTGCTCTTCCAGGGCAGTGCTTGCATGATGGAGGAAGGTCATTGGTTAATTATAATAAAGAAACTGCTTGGCCCTCATAGGTTAAAACATAGGTGGGTGGAGTAAACAGAACAGAATGCTGGGAGGAAGAGGAAGTGAGCTGAGAGGCCATGCTCCCCTCTCCCGGGCAGACGCGATGAAGCAAGCCACCAGGTCAGACATGCTGAGTCTTTCCCGGTAAGACTGGTGCTACACAGTTTATTAGAGATGGGTTGATTGGGATATCAAAATTAGCTAGTAAGAGCTAGAGCTAATGGGCCAAGCAGTGTTTAAAAGAATACAGTTTGTGTGTTGTTATTTTGGGGCATAAGCTAGCCAGGCGACCAGGAGCTGGGGCAGCAGGAACACAGCCCGCAGCTTTTACAACACTTGCAGGATACAGTTGCTGTGTTCAAGGCATGCATGGTTTAAGGTTAGGACTGTTAGGTTCATCTGGCCTTTTTACCAAAATGACAACCCCACTTAGAGAAGACACTAGGGACTAAGTTGTTAACTGAAATCCCTGTCATCTATGCTCTACACAGACAGGGAGGAGACTAGATCTCACTATGACATCCTGAGCTTATTTCAAATGACTAGCGCTTGCTATGAAGAACAAAGCTGCCTCAAACTCAGAGACCCACCTGCCTCGGCCTCTCAATGCTGGGATTAAAGGCGTGCAGCACCATCTTGGAAATCTGTTTTTTCAAGAAACTAAAAACAGCTGGGTGATGGTGGCGCACACTTTTAATCCCAGC